GCAGCACATGTGCTGTCAAACTGATGAAGATGCTTTCTTAATTTGATGGTGCTTTTTCCTATTTGCTTGTGTTTTCTATTTGCTTTCTCGGCCACCGTACTGCCGGCTTATTAATCATAACACTTTACAGGCGTGGTGTGGACAAAAACGTGGTGTGCCTTCTGCGGAACTGGACTGAAGGGAACACCATGGTGAAGGTGTGGCGACAAATCCAGGAGAATCACTTTGATGAGTATCTCCACAGAAAAGACCTGTACACCACACTCCTCATGACTATTACAAAGCCTGGGGGGATCGTGTCAGCCTTAGGACACAAGTTTGAGGCTCCACCTCCTCCAAGAGAGCTGCCCTCTGCTCGTCTTCTTCGTCGTGCCTCCCTGCTGGCAGAGGCCAACAACGTACAGGACTACAGGAACCAGATTCTCTCCACTTTTGGCACAGTGCTAAAAATGGGCTCCACTAAAAAGGTACGTACAAAACGGCGTAATGCATGCCCGATAAATACCATTTATCTTTATATTTTATGTTATTTCAGACCTGTATGACTTTGTTTTTATCAGCTGAACACAAAAGAACTGCATAGAGTGTATTAGTAGCAAATCTCAGTCTGGAAATATCCGAGTCTCAGACTTGTTCCATTTTGCAGGTGGTGAAGAAGCTGTCTGGGGAGGGTAAAGGCTCAGATGAGTGGTTTACCAGTATAGGCAATGAGAATTCCCATATTGTCTCGTTTGTTCTCACGTGTGAGGAGTCCATCGAGTGCCTGGAGCCCATGTGCCGTGGAGTAATGGACAGGTTCCAGCAGGCCAATCAACCTGTGCCTACAATCCTGTACGTTGACCGTGGGTGTTGCCGTGCACAAGGCCGAGCTGCCATGGAGACCTTGTTCCTAGATTGGGTAGATAATGGTATGGTCGTGTGTCTGGACATATTTCATTGGATCCATCGTTTTGATGCGGCCATTTGCACTGACAGCCATTCTAAGTATGCGGTGTTCAAGTCTGCCCTAGCAGGAGCGGTGCTGGCATACAATCGCACTGACTTAGAGCTGCTCATCAAAGCCGTCAAAGCAAAGGACCCAGGAACTTTTAACTCTGTCACTGATGAAGATATGGTGCGACTCTATGTGTCAAAAGAACAACTGAAGCACCACGTCCGCAGAGTTACACTTGGGGCTCAGGAGACCTTCCGGCTAGTCCAGATAGCCATCGATGAACTCAAAGGTCCTGCTGGGCTAGACGAAAGCGGAGTCAGCCTCTTCAAGTCACCAGGTATATAATGTGATGTAAACATAGAAAATGTTATGCACTGCCGTTCAAAAGTTTGGAATCCGTAAGATTTTTAATGTTTTTTAATGGAGTTAGATTATATTAAAATAGAAAACTGTTATTTTAAATTGCAATAATATTTTACAAAATAATTATTTTTCTATATTTTTGATCAAATAGATACAACCTTGATGTGCATAAGAAACTTTAAAAAACATTAAAGATCTTACTGATCCCAAACTTTTGAAGGCAGTGTATATATATTAGGGCTGCCCGATTATGACAAAAATCATAATTGTCGATTATTCCCTTGAAATTA